TTCACTTAATTGATATACGAGGTCTGGCTATTAAATAACTAGACTGCTTATGAAAAAGAGTTTTACTTTAAAAATTATTCTACAATCGAATGCTCTCCTTCAATATATTCCCCTTCCCTTACCACACACTGTTCCATTCGTTTTTTCCATTGGTCGAAGCAATGCTGGAAGTCTTCTCTTGTTAGAGTTTTTGGGAGCTCCGCCGTTTTTCGCTTCACCTCTTCAATCGACTCGAGCCGGATTCCTTTTAAGGCATACTTGATCTTCGGAAACAGGAAAAAGTCACAGGGTGCTAAATCAGGCGAGTACGGTGTTCGAGCACTGGAATACCTCTAGCGACTAAATAACACTTGACAGATAGCGCGTTATGAGCAGGTGTGTTGTCCTGGTGCAAGATCTACGGCTTGTTTTTCCACAACTCCGGCCGTTTCTTACGAACTTGCTCTCGCAGCGTTGCCAAAAGTTTCAAATAGGAAGTTTGCTTTACAGTTTGATCCTCTGGCGTCCATTTAGTCATCACTTTAATTTCGACATCTTTGCTTTTTTCATACTTGGCGATGTAGGAGTTTTCCAGTGCATGGATTGTCGCTTAGTTTCATCATCGTATTTGAATATCCAGGTTTCATCGTAGGTGATGATGTTTTCCATTAATTCAGGCTCATCATGTAACCTCTCAAGAAAATCTGAGCAGATCCGTTGAGGGACGAGCTTTTGGTCAGAAGTCAAATTTTTTGGGACCAACTTGGCACAGACTTTCTTCATGTTCAATTCGTCATGTAAAATTTTTCTGATTGTTTCTTTATCGGCGGTTACAGTCTCATCAATCATCTGAATGCTCATATGACGATCTCCGCACACAATTTCATTTATTTTGGTCACTGTTTGCGGAGTTGAAACAGAGACAGGTCGACCTAGACGTTGGTCATTTTCGGCGCTCTCTCGGCCTTCAGAAAACCGTTTATAGCATTCGAAAACACGCGCACGAGATAGGAAATTCTCACCATAGACCTCTTTCAACAAATTATAACACTCAGTCAGCGTTTTTTTAATTTAACGAGAAATTTCACATTAATCCGTTGCTTATGTTTTTCATCACACATTGTTATCATAAAAACATGTTATTTTCTAACCTCTACAGGTAAATACTACTACAGCGACAAAAACGTGTTTTCCTACTGGAAGAGTAGACACTTCCAGCTATCTAATGCTGCATTCGTTTACCATTCTTCCTCTCTAGAACGCCTTCTGCGCCCGCAGTCGCGTTATTTAATACCCAGACCTCGTACAAACTATGTTGTATCACAGCGTAGATTGATCACAAAACGTAGAACGTAAGGACAATAGGTGCTTTTAATGGTTAAAACAAATGATTAAACCTAAAAAATGATTTAAAAAACTAATCTTAAAAGTGTTATAGTGCCAAGACAACGATGATAATCTAAATAGGGTTGTATAAAACATAGGAATTAAAATAACATATAAATTAATTCAAGTATTTAATACTTTTATTTTAACCTATGGCAGCTTCATTTTTCTCCATTTGTATATTGTATAATATCAAATATTTTTAACCTCTAAGGTACATTTCTTAGTGATTATAGTATGTGTAGTGTTTTACTACTTCAATCAACTTCGTACCGTATATTCGTAATATGGTTTTTAAACTAGACTATATGGTATTTGTATATGATCTTTCAAATATAACGTATTTTCAATTATGTGTATCAAAGTAGATAACAAATTTTCGTAGTCTTGAAATATTTTTTCTTCGTAGTATGTTCTTGAATTTAAACATGTTTTTTCCCTGATATTGTCATTTTAGAATTCATCATCCTACTATTGAGGTTTTGTGCAGTTTTTGTTTATTCATAATTGCCCAGAGCTTGTGGCGCTGGTCCATGTTTTATGTGTTGGCGGGTTTTATAATTTTCAAGTGCAAAATTTTCTTTTAATTGTTTGTCTCACCGGTTTTATTACAATCATTTTAAGCTTTGTTTTTCAAGTCTCTTCTGATTTGTATTTTTTCATCACTTAACGTATATTTACTTTTAGTAAGTGGTGACCATTGTTCTAAGTTGAACATATCTGTACATCTTGGAAGACTTTACATGGTTATTGTTTTGAAAATTTAATATTTTTAGTTCATTTTGGCCAGATACCGATATACATTTTTATTTATTGTTATTCACTTGTTATTTCTTCTTCCTATTTGTCTAATTTGTAAATATGCCAAGTATTTTACTTTAAAAGTAGATTGGGCACTTTTCCTTGCTTTTCGCCAACTACTGCTCATATTTCTAAAGCTTACTCGAAAACAGTTTAATAAGTTATAACAGTTTATATATCAAAAATTTACTTCTACCCTACTCATTTCTTCTTTAACCTCTTTTTAAATTTAAAAAAAATTTAAATTTTTCAAATAATGAAGTATTTATATGTTATTTTATGTGTACATTGTTTAACAACTGTGTCGTTAGTTAGAAGCCGCTCTTACACAGCAAAGGTGTTATGACGCTTCGACGCAATATTAAAAATTATTCATTTTTCGTCAAAAACTGTGATAAATGTTCAGATAAATCATACTATCATGTAATATAACTAATACTTATAAACTTTTCCTTTTTTTACTAATATTCAGTCGCTATAATAGATAAATTATCCAAATACTAAATTAATGTTTTCTATCTCTGCAAACACGTTTTATCATATTTGACTATTTTTAAAGTAAGTTTACTTTCAGAAAAAAATAAAAAATTTATATTTACTGTTCTATTTCAAATATATTTAATTTATTAATCTTTTTTATTAGAAAAAGTTTTTTATTCAATTTCATTTTCATATAAACATCAACAAATTCTATTTTGTTCATTTGTCTTTCTTTTTTAATACATAAACAAATTATGCAAATAAATGGGCGCGGAATATCCAAAAATTTAATTTTTGACAAGAAACGCGATATTTTATCTACCTTACAAAAATTACGTTCAGATATTCCTAGATCTAGTCAAACGTGGTAAAACCTAACTTTAAACCTTAAGAATGTGAACAACGCTTATAATATTACATAAAATATTATTTGTATATATCGCAGATTTCATTTTAAATATTAGAGATGTATATTTTTGTCCTGTTTGTCAATAATAGGTTACATTTATATGTTTTTTCATATAGGTAAAGGTTTTCTAAATGAGCGTTGGATACATCTGAAATTATTGAAAAGCTATATATCATTTGTAATTTTTTTGACAATTTTTTGACAATTTTTTCTTTATAGTAAAATGCTCAAATCTCTAATCTTGATAAACCTGGAAGCGTAATTGTCGAGCTTTGTGAAGAACTTTTAGACCAGGGGAAAATGATCGTTGCAGATAATTGGTATACCAGTGTTCCATTAATTAAATACTTGCTTCAACGCAAAACTGATCTTTGTCGGATATTGAGAAAAAATCGTAAAAACTTTTTGTCAAAAATAAGAAACTGAAGCGAGAAGAGCAAATTGCTGAACAAAAAAATAATGTGACGATCCTAAAATGGAAGGACAAGAGGGACGTCCTTATGATTTATACTTGCCACGCAGATGAACAAACAATGAGCACTGGTCGAAATCCGCGTCCAAAGCCTAATATGATACTGAAATACACTAGTCGAGAAAAGGGTATCGATCTTTCTGACGGATTGTATAGCTACTATTCACCAATTCGCAAGAACTTGACCTGGTACAAAAAAGTTGCTGTCGATGTTCTGTTTGGAGTAGGTCTCATCAATACAGTTTATTCGTTCAATCAATTGAACCAGCAAAATAAATGTACATTATTGCAGGCCCAAATGAGCATTGTGAAAAATAGTTTGGGTATAAACGTTGTCCAGACACCTTTCATACGTACGACATCTACGTCACAAGCACAGCATTTTCTTAAGCCGCTGGATAGAAAAGATGGAAAAATTACTAGACGTAGGTATGCCCGCTGCTATAATGAATTTCGTCAAAAAGGAGAAACATCAGCAGCTGTCACTAATAAAGCCAAAAGAGTTTCACAAATATGCAACATCTGTACCAAACCGTATTGCCTACAATGTTTCCAAAAAGTACATTGAACATCATAACTTTTTTTCGATGCTTTTTCTTTTTCAATAAATATTTACTTTTCATTATGTTGTATATTAATTTATCTTACATGTCCATTATTTAGTTTGCTATAAGTGAAAACGCAATAAACATAGGTGTTTAGTTTCGATATTATATTGTATCGCAATTACGATAAAATTCCATTTTTTCCCTTTTTCCCAACACTATCTATAATATATTATGGGATATATTCTGTCAAGTCCACGTTTAATAAACGCCATTCTCCCCACGTTCACTTTTATAAACAACCTGAAAATTGTATCGACAAACGTGTATAATGGTCTGTGAACTGGTAGTGCTTTTAGCCTACAGACCATATGTGGTCTATGGACAGCGAACCTGATAAGTCTAGCATTTATAGTTATATTGCATATTTTTTCAATAGAAGTGTATTGTGGTTTTAGTAATACAAATTGTTTCTAATAATTCATTATTTTTGTGATTGTAAAGATAAACGGGTGAATTGATGGTAATAATAATCTTCCATTTTCGTTATTTCCTAATACCTTCCTTTCTTCATTATTGGGATATACAGCAACGCTATGCAAAAATGACAATATCAAATTGGAAAATGTCCAACGGATTTTATGGAAATAATCTATAGAGAGAGAACTATTTTTTATTGATACTATGTATGAGGCCACCGACCGAAGTCTTTCAGTCAAACTAATCTACAATTTTATAGAATATAACACCAATTTTTGTTTTAGATGTTTGTTAGACTAAATATCAAATTGTTGTCGAATAAAAATTGATGTGTTGCAAATATTTTGGTATTACAAAAATTGCAACTACAAGAAAATTACAAATACATTTTACATGTTTTGTTATGTTTGGAGTTATTTCCTTTACTAATCGCATTTTATTTTTGCAGCTGCCGTTTACTAAGTGGAAGAAAAAAGTATGACACAACGAGGAGTCAACATAAAATCAGTATACCACAAGCGACTGACTGAACAAAAAAATCATTGAAACATCTGTTTGCACTTATTTAAACTTATGTTTCAACCGAGTGTTCATTTTAACAAAAAATATAAGTTATATACACATACTTACTACAAAGTGCCTTAAATTATACAAAGTAATATTAAGAACACCTAATTTTATGTAAAAGATGTAACATATACACTGTTTTATTTAATTTTTTGTAAATGATCCTTTGGGACGATCGGTGCTGACTATAAGCGTGTCTCGCATTCCATCATTATATTTTAGGAACGTCCTAGAGTGCAGGAATTTGTAAAAATTATATTATTTTTGATTGGTTTCAATTTTGGTAATCATGTAAAGCTTTACCAATTAATAAAGAATTTTAATTCAGTGGATTTTATTGTTTTTAAATTATCAAACAGATCTATCAAAAAATGAAAGAAGCATAAATACAAGAAGCCATGGAAAGTGATTAAACGACCAATGAAGAAAAAATAAATTAAGAATGTGATACAAAATGTATCTGCTTTAATACGCTTAAGAAAAATCAAGGCATTAACAAATATTACAAAGCAAACACATTACAGATAAACTCTAAAAACTCAGATTTACTAATAAACTCTGATGGTAAATCTATTACAGACATAAAAGAAAAACATAATAGAAAGAGTATATAACGGAAGATTTTGTTAGAAATTACATGACCCAGGAAGAATTAGAAGATGAAATAGTAACGAAAATATTAATGGAAGAACTTGAACAGGCCATTAAAAGTTTCAAGTGAAGGAAATAGCAACAGAGTTAATTACATTCCAACAGAGTTACATTCATTGACGATGAAACCCTACAAATATGCATAAATGTTTTTTTTACAAAATTTACAGACTCAATTCTTTAGGAATGGTTAACATCCATCTACATCAAAATATCAAAAAACTTACGTTGTAAAGAGTTTACTCAGTGCAGAATGATGTCTTTGACAAGAAACATTGTTTTGTTAACATGTTCCTAAAAATAATAAAATTAAAAGATAAACATAGTAGTTACTCAATTTGTTTTACGAAAAATATAAAAGAAACAATGTAAGGCTTTAATGTGATCATTTAAACATTATTAGATACAAATGAGGATTTATAAACCTGCTTCATACTTTTCAAAAAAAAACAGTGGAGTGATGCAAAGCACTAAAATTTTGACAATTTAGATCCGAATTATAATTACTCTAAACTAGAATCAAACTGAGGCATAAAATGTATGGAAATCTCTACAGAAAATATTCAAAGTAAATAAAAACAAACACTATAGTAAAAAAGTGTAGAATAAAATTTAAAGTAGTAAAGAACGATTCGGCAACGGTGTACTAAGCAGATAAAAGTAAATTTATTTTTCTCCTACTAAAAACCCAAACATTTCGGTTAATAGCGAAAAATAATTTACGGTTTGTTTACATTATGTGAATTTAAAATGGCTTCCTAATACCACAGTGAGAAATTTCTAGACAAAAAACTCGCTTTCGATAAAAACTAGTGTTTGAAGTGATAAAAGTAAGTAAGATTATTCACAATTCGAAACAGTAAGGTCGATTCAGACACATGAGTTCCGTCACAGTCTCGGCGCCGAACCGGTCCTGTTTGGTCACAGAACTATCAACTATCTGACAGCTGGGAAACTGTTCGTCGCCTGATAAATGTGAATGTCGGCGCCATATTTCTATTAAAGAATATTTTCTATGACGGATTGTTCGGTTCAGCGCCAGGACTGTAACGAGACTTGACTGAAGTGTCTGAATCGACCTCTGGTGGAACTCTGGCCGTTAGGTTTGCGACGTTGTCAAAGTTAAAAATAGTTCTGTAAACTGAGAACTGATAGGAACTGGATTTTTGAGCGGTTCAAGCGAATCTAGTTCCTTTCGCGGTCCTTAGCAACAGATAGGATGCACACGGACAGTGATGATAACGCGTCAAAAGGCAAGAAGAGAAAAGATAGAGGGTCAACTGCAACTTTCCTGCAAAGCAAAAAAACTGCCAGAGCCCCATGCAAAAGAAAACCAAAGGTAGAAGATTCAGAGGACTTGGACGACGTTTTAAGCATGTTCAAAAAGATGATGGGGGAACTGAAAGAAATCAGGAATGGAAATAAGGAATATAGAGAAGAGATGATAGCGCTGAAAAAAGAAAATATAAAGATAAATCAAGAATTGGAAGAAACAAAAAATAAATTAACCCAGGTTGAAAACAAAATAGAAAGAATTGAAAAACAGATGAAAAGAAATTACATAGTAATTACGGGTCTCCCAATAAACGCAACAGATAAAACATTCTTAAAAATAACATAAAAGATTTTATACAAAAACACCTAAAAGAGGATGTCGAAATAGAATCTGCAATGAAGTCAAAAAGCAATATATGTCTGGTACAAATGAAGGATTATGGCGAAAAAATTAGGGTAGTGAAAGAAAAAAGCAAACTCAGGTTTCTTAGTGGAAAAAAGATCTTCATCAACGATGACCTGACCGAAAAAGAAAGACACATGAGGCAGGAAATCATAAATAAAGGCAAGGAATTAAGAGCTGAAGGTAAAATTTGAAGATAGGGTACAAAAAACTAACTGTGGGTGGCATAAAATGGGTCTGGGCGGAAATGGTACTTTCAAACGAGAAAATTCTAGAAATATGGACCCAAAAAACGGCATATCGTAGTGGAAAAAGTAAAAGGTGGCCCATTATGCTAACGGACCCTAGCGATAAACAGTAAATGAGTTTGAACATAAATAACAAAATAAAAAATAAGAATATATACCTAAATATTGCGATATGGAATGTACGAGGAGGGAGTATTAATTAACCTAATAGAAGAACTTAAAAAATTTAAAATACACATCATAGCAATACAGGAAACACATTTAACTGGAAATAACATTGAAAAGATTAGCCCATACACGTTTTATATAAGTGAAGGCGATAATAGGAGTTTTGGAGTGGGTTTTCTGGTACATGACGAAGTACATGCCCCAGCAGAAGAAAAAGAAGAAGTGAAAGATGAATTTTATGAATTTTTAAGGTCGGTAGAGAAGATATATATATAAACATAACAGGGGGTGAAAGTAAACATTTGAATACAAATGATAATGGACAAAGATTGATTACATTCGCAATTGAAAACAGGGTGAAGATAATGAATACCCACTTTAGGAGAAAAAATGGTTGAGTTTACCGAAAGTACAAACTGATTATAGCCGCAAATGTCAAACATAGAACAAAAACTTTCAGTTTAGCAGTGTTGGCATGTTTTTATATTGTATAAGCTGTATATTTGTAAAATGAGTAAATATTTCTTATTTTGAATATTAAATGCAGTTAATTATTGGATTTTTTTGGCAATTGCCCTTTGATAGATTAGGTGATAGATTTGGCGATCGTCAAATCAGCAGTTGCCAGATTGCAACAGATGTTAGCAAATAATCTCGAAAGAGACAAATATTTACTAGATATTGTTTCATATAAATTAAAAATTGCAGAATTTATAAAATAGCATAATCAAAATGTACTTTTTAAGAGCTTTCTCTCGTTATATTTGAAGCATACAACATATCCATTATAAAAACATCCCAATACTGACAAACCGAAATATTTTATTTCATGGTTGACATTTGCGACTATATTCAGCTTGTACTTTCGGTAAACTTAATCAAAAAAATGTATATAAAGGAACGTGGAAAATTCCGGGATCAAATGAAACTAATCAAGTAGACCACATCTTAATACAAGAGAAGTTAGCCAATTTAATAATAAATGTGAAAACGTGCAGAGGGGCTGACGTAGACTCAGATCATTTTTTGGTTAGAATTAATATGAGAGAAGCAATAATTAAAAAGCATAAACGGAAAAAGAAAGTGCAACGTAAATTTAACTTTGAAAAACTGCGAAAAAACAAAAGTTCTTGAAAATGACAAACACTATAAAGGAATCTACGTCGAAGAACATACCAAGAACAAAAAGATTTAGACAAAACCACTGGTTCGATGACGAATGAGTGGTTAAAATATAACGAGCTAAAAAAAGATCAGATTTGAGATTAAAAAGTTTACGATCTCAAAAATAAGACGATCTAGTAAGGTATGCCGAACGACGAAAAAAAGTAAAGAGAATCCTAAGTGAGCGGAAACGAAAGTATATGGATGATAAAATAAAACTCATTGAAGAAAATTGCAAGAAAAATGAAATAAAAATATTTTATAAGAGGTAAAATAGATTAAAACTGGGTACCAGGGAAGATCGATGAATGTAAAAGATAAGCAAGGAAACCTGATAGTGGACGAAGACTAAATATGTGAAAGGTGGAAAGAATATTTCGAAGAGATGCTAAATGACGAAGTGACTACTGAAGAAAATTGTTATGTACCTAAACCTCAAATAGTAATGGAATAAATACCAAAGCCCACAAGAGAAGAAATTGAAGAAATAATAAAAGATATAAAAGAGCCCCGGGGAGAGCAGCATTGTGGCAGAGAACAAAAAATATGGAGGAGAGGCCTTAATAAACAAACTTAATGAGCTAATACTAGAAGTATGGGATGCCGAAGAAATGCCTCAAGAATGGAATAAGTCGATTATAATTCCTATACACAAAAACGGAGATAGAACTGAGTGCGCAAACTATAGAGGAATTCTTATTAGAGGTAATATATAAAGTATTCGCTATACTAATTAAAAACCGATTAGAAATATATATAGAAAAGAACCTAGGAAAATACCAGGGAGGATTTCGGAAAGGAAGATCACAAACCAATAAATTTTTTATGCTAAAACAAATCCTGATCAATGCTATGAATAAATTTCAGCACAAGTACTTTTCATTGATTACAAAGCTGTCTACGATACAATAGACAGAAACAAGTTAATAGAAACACTAAAAGAATTCCAAGTGCCAGAAAAAATAATAAGATTGGTAAAAATGACAATTAGACAAATCATTTGTGCTGTGAGATGCAACGGTAGTCTCAGAAGAATTCAAAGTGAAAAAAGGTGTTCGCCAAAGAGACCCGTTGTTTATTACATTGATATTCAATATATTTCTACAAAAAATTGTAAGGGTTAGTGGGATAAATAGGTCCGGAACAGTGATATGTAAGAGAGGGGATATGACATACCGTGAAAACGGGATCGGTTCGGCCATATTGATGTAGACATGACAGATTGTTGTTTGTGTCAGTACTTCTGTGCATAGAAATTTAATTTTAAAAGTATTTTGAACTTAATTTTGTACGGTTTTACGTTTATTTTAAAGTGAAACCATTATGGCGTCGTGTGCTTTTGTTTTGTGTCGAAATAACGGTTAAAATAATAAGAAAAACTCAACTGGAATATCTTTTCATCGGTTAGTATGAAATTGTAAACA